GTCTGTGTAGATGTGGTTTGGTTACATTTCACAGAGTGAAACTGGCCAGTCAACCAACTGCTATTAGACTATTTTTTTTCTAACTGGAGTAAAAACTGCTGATCCTCCAATAGCCATTTGAAATTGGTTCTAAAAGCATCAGAAATCATTCTCTAAAGATTGCCACGCTTGTTTGTCCTATTTTTTTATTTTTTTTTTTTTTTTAACAGTGTGGGCCTTTTAAGCTAATTTCACCATGTATTCATCAGTGGCTGAATTATACCGGTTTAGCTAGTTTGCTTTTTTAAGCCAATTTGACATAAAATAATAGACACATCCAATGATACTTTTGTCACACTCATTAAACCTTTGCCTTTGTAACAAGAACAAATTAATTATACGCTAAAAACCTGTGTTTACCTACTATTTCATATCAAAATGGCTGCTGTGAAGTTTGTGTTGTGTAAGGACTTGATGCATTATCAGAAGCATGCTAATAGTGTCACGGAGGCTAATATAATTGGTGCTAGCTGTCTACCAAATTGCACCTTAATTAATTAAATTGCTTTGGGTTATTTAAAAAAATGATGTTACTAATAATATGTTTTGCTGTGAACTTAATGTATTAATCATCCATCTTTTTCTGTTACTTGAAATTCTAGGTTTGTGTTTTTTCTGTGTTGTGAGTAATTGGCGGGTATATCAGTTTATATGACGCACATTGCTAATCAAGATAACCAGCATTACCTGATAATGTTTTCAGTTTTATTCAGATCTTGTCACTTCTCGACATTATTAAACCACGACAGCAATGACCAAAGCACCAGACTCGAGATGTTAAAGCAGTAGTCGAAAAACCAATGGGTGATTTTTTTGAGTGTTCCATCTTTTATATACAGTCTGTGGTCACAAATAGTGCAATAATGCCAGGCTAATTAGGAGTTTTAATTTTCAGGATTTTAGCTTCCTAAGGTAAAGCAAAGGAGGTCGCTAGTGATTGTTGATTATTTTGTAAAAACTAGAGGGTTACATTGTGGGGTGTTCAACAAAACCTTTAAACTTAACAAACAGTAAATAAAAACTTAGATTAACTGGCTTGACTCATTTTGAATAAACTCCATAATACAGGAATAGCTCCAAATGTGTCATATGACACATGAATTGTGTAAACTGTAAATATGGCTCTGAATCTCTGATTCATATGTACACTATAACCTCTTGGTCTTACTTAAGCTTCCACTTTGAATCTTCCCTTAGTCCAAATTTAGCTGGGGTCTGGCAGTAAATATACCACAACATATCCTTCATCTCCAACACCCATGCTTGGTTACTGTTGCTATGCATGGTGGATCGTTGCCGTCACCGGTGCATCCAATAGGCATGTCGGCGTAACCCGGGAATCTAAAAACAGCATTCTATATTACAGCATATAATGAGAATGGCTTCATCAGTGTGCTCTCCAAATGTCAGAGCAGTTTTAATGATCTACTGAGCACACACACACACACACACACACACACACACACACACACACACACACACACACACAAAGAAGCTATATGTCATGTGTGAGTGTGCATGCAGTCACAGTGTGTGGCTCTTTTCTGCATTGTTGGCATTTTTAAGCAATCTCACCTTCCTAATAGTGTTCAGCGTTGAACCTATTAGTTCTTTCCACCCTAACACTTTTGTGTTACACCCTTATATTTTTTTCCTCTACCATGATACATAACATGTGCATAAGCAGCTGAGAAAAAAAGTTTAGTGTTTTTTATTCCCGTGCTTCGCATTTCCGCGAGATTCATGAGGTTGTTTACAGGGGCGGGGTATTACTCATCATAGTGAAGCCAACAGGAGACACTTTAACTGTTTTTGTAACACACAGAAACTGAAAACCCTCTACTGTAGCACAATAAAGCACAACAGCTTATGCAATGTTTTTGTTTTAGCTGCTCAAATGGCATATATGTCAGACAACCTCTAATTTCTTCTTCCGGGATGTGTGCTTTGTGTGTTTTGATGTTAACAGTATAACAGACTGAATTCACCAGCAGGTTGGGAGAAAATACATCCAAAATGATTATGAAGCAGGAAATAAGATGAGGCAGATACAATAAGAAAAGAAGAAAAGGAATTGGTTAGGAAGGGGTTCATAAGATAACTAGCAGACAAAAAGCTGGAGAGAAAGAGGAGCAATAAGAGGAGAATATGACAGTGGAAAAGCAGTGGAGGCTCGATTCAAAGAGTGGGACTTGTGGAGGGGACAATATGAGTAAGGGGGAAAGGCTTATGAGCGAACATGCCGGCCGGGGCTCTTGGTGCAATGCAGAAGGCATTGCCATGGAAACGAATGGAGGGAAAGAGCAGATGAGGAGGAGGAGGAGGGGATTAAATAGGAAGGAAGAGATCAGTGCCTCATACTGTGTAGGGGGCTATTTTCATGAGAGGGGAGGGGCCGGTAGACAAACGAGTAACAAGTGTGTGGAAATGGAGTTAAATGAATAGCTTCTCGATAGTTTAACACTGGAGTTCTCCCACTTGTGTGCATGAAACTACTCATCGTAACAGAGGCGTCGTCGCACTTGTGTTAAAATTTAAACACACTCTTCAGCAGACTTGTGCGGTTTGGTTGTGAGCAAGGACAAAGTTTTGGAGAGGAAGTTAGTGCAGAAGTTACAGTCAAGTATTTCCTGTACAAGTTACGATTCTTATTTAAAAAAAAAAATGAAATAAAATAAAAGGCAATAGCGGATGAGCCTGTCGCTATGGCGCTAGTTGTCTCAGGTGGCATTGTCTGAGGTCCAGATCTGAGGGCGGGGGTTGTCATGGCAGCAGGAGTGCATGGAGTTTGTCTGGGTGTCATGCTACAACACATACAGACCTTTCCCTTTCTCTCTCGGTGTCTCTCTCTCGTGCACACACACACACGCGCACACACACATACGCACACATACACACACAGGCTGTTGGAAATACTCTTTACTGCAGGATTATAAATAGAAGGTACCAGAAGGCAGCACCCCTCTCCTCATCTTCAATGCCCATGGGACCCTATCATTCTCATCTTCCTTTTCACCCATCTATCCTCAGCACTCGTCCTCTCTCTTCTTTAGAGCCCCACAGATGCAGCATTTTTTTTTGTAAAGGTTTATGCTAGTCCGCTTCAATCTAACATGCATCTTTTTAGATTGTTGCAGACATCGACAGCATTTTTGTTAACATGGGATGCACCACAGTTTATTTTCAGCTGGAACAAAAGAGCTCTGTTCAGTAACCTGTAGCATTTTAAGATTTGTTCAGGTGAAAGCAAGAGAAGGTCTAGCAGATTGATAGAGAGATACATAGATCTGTCCTCCTCTGTCATTATCATCATTTTAACACCCAAAACTACCATCAAGGGCCTCTGTTTTGCTGTCTGTTTATCTCCACAGTGATGGTGATGATGCAGGGTGTCTGTGGTTGTCATGGTAATGAGCCTGGCATGGTAAGGATGCTTAATGAGACTGGAGATGCTCGGGCTAATGAAGTGGGACGGCTGGGTGTTCGCTTAACTGGCAGTGATAAGGAACCACTTGTTAAGTCTGCTGTGCTGCCTTCACTGCGCTGTTTTGCTGTATATCCAGGCTCCTATACAGGGCAGATGTACATGTTTCTACAGCAACCACCGCTGTAGTCGTAAAGGCGCTCTGTGATGTATTACTTCTCTTTGTTATTGCTTTGATAAGCAGCCATTTGCCTCATAATTAACATGCTCAAAGAAGAGGAAAGCTTTTAATCCCCACTGGAAAGTTTTTGAAAAATATTTTTGGCCAGAAAATCTCCTTTCATAGGGTTGACCCAGAAATTAGTCAGAGCCACTGTGGAGGTTTTTCTAAAGTGAGCTTTGCTGACATGACAGCTCACAGCTGCTTTCTCATCCTCCCGTGTGACTAAACTGTCACTGTGTGGCCCGGGCTGTTCACGTGCACACACTTTGTGCACATGTTGCACAGAGGTGTGAGTGCGCAAGCTGCATACCCGTGTAAAGGTGTGAATTTACAGTTGTGAACATCGATCTCTTATCAAAGAGTTGGCAAATGCCAACTCTTTGATAAAACTGACCTAAAACTCTATGGCTAATGCTACAAGAATGACATCGAGGCTGAGGTGTGGAGTGATAAAAGTGAAGGAAAGAGCTGCACAACCTTACACTTCATATCCTGAACCCAAATCACTTCATCTGTGCCCTGCTGCTGCTATTTCAGCATGCCGAGTCACACGGAGATACAGTGTGTCATTACAGGGGATGATGTCCTGAAAGCTTCTTCTGGGGTTAGCACTCTCTGGCTTGCTCTCATTCTCCTAACGTCAGCAGGACTTGCAAAGCCTTGATAACCCTCCCCTCTCCTCCTCTCATCTCCTCATCTTTCTGAGCTCAGCCTCTCACCTCTCCCCTTGCCCTGCCACCCACTACTCTTCCCCATGCTGGCAATTTGTGTTTCTGCCTTACAAGCCGAGGCTCAGGAGGTCCTCCTAAAGGCTTATTGCTCCCTAGTTGCAACAGCCATTGCAAAATGGGCTTTGTGCATTTAAAATGGACTGTAGTTATACCTGTGATGTGGAGCTGTTTTTCAGTAGCGCAGGGACACCCCAGTGGATATTGCCTTCTCGCTAGAGTGGCCTCGCTTCATAATAAAGAGTGCAGGGATCTGAGCTTTCAAGGCAAACTTGAATTCTTGGTTATTTGTGGTAGGTAGCTTTGAAAAAGCAAACATTTTACACAGAAACACACTCAGAAATAACTAAAGAGAAACATCAGACATTTTTAGGCAATTTGTGCAACTGAGTGTGTATGTGTGTAAACTTTGCTTGGCTTTACGAAGTATCTTAAATTCTCATAAGGGTCACATAATTTCACCGTTAACCCCTGGCGCCCTTAACAGGCAGCTCTAATAATCCTCGGATTATTATACTTAGTGGATTAGCCTGTTGAAATAAAGGTACTTAAAGAAGGGAACATGACCTCTGTGTTCTGCTTTCAGATGGCGGGACAAAGAAGCTCCGCAGCACCATCCGGCGAAGCACGGAGACCGGAATCGCCGTCGAGATGAGAAACCGAGTGACACGGCAGGGCAGCAAGGACTCAACCGACGGCAGCACTAACTCAAACAGCTCCGATGGAACGTGCGTGTTCCGTCCGACAGTGTATCCGTTCGCTCGTCCATATACACAATACCTGTTCATCCAGCATGAGTCTGTTTCTCCTCTTGCAGGTTTGTCTTCCCTACCACACGCCTGGGCCCTGAGAGCCAGTTCAGTGACTTCCTGGACGGACTAGGCCCCGCTCAGATTGTAGGCCGGCAAACATTAGCTACACCCCCAATGGGTAAGCGTGAAGTCGGCCAGCATCACCATCTAGTCCCGTGCAGTCCACTCCATTCTCATCTGTTTTTATCATACAAAACTAGTAGAAGTCATCGATTGTTTCTACTTGATAGCGTTTGATTGAAATGTGAGGCATATAAGCAGGACAATATATCGCACACCAGCACAGTCAGATCATTCAGTTAATACATTATCAATCAGAAACTCCGGTTTCTGTTTAAAACTTTTTGCAGCATGCATCCACTTAAATGCACAACAGCATCGTGAAATACTGCCCAGTAATCGTGTATTCGCTCAGCAGGAATGAAGTTATTCCTGCGTGAGCTATAAATCTTTCATGCAAAGGTTACTGGTTTTGAAAAAATAACTACCCAGAGCAGTGCGCTCCTTTATATCTGGTGGTGAAGATGGCGTTGTAGCTCTATGTGGCCCTCTGCTGCTGAACATTGTCTGTTGCAGCTGCAGTCCAGGCTCTCGTTTGATTGTTAGCTGAGTATCACAGAGATCTCAGCTGCATTGAAACTTCAGGGTTTTTTAAAAAAAAAAAATTTATTATGGTGTTATATTGAGTTTTGGTTTGTTTTGATCTATAGGGGATGTAAATGTAGGCATGGTAGACAGAGGAGGGCAGCTAGAGGTGGAGGTCAACCAGGCCAGAGGGTTGACCCCCAAACCAGGCTCCAAGAACATACCAGGTACTCACTTCTTGATGAAAGCTACAATTCTGTGGGCTTAGCAGCACATGCATGAGGCTCACTTTTTCTTTTTTCATCTGCAGCAACCTATGTGAAGGTGTATCTTCTGGAGAACGGCGTGTGCTTGGCTAAGAAGAAAACCAAAGTAGTGAAGAAGACTCTGGACCCCACCTACCAGCAGGCTTTGTTGTTCGATGAGAGTCCTCAGGGCAAAGTCCTACAGGTAAGTAATCCTCTTTTTCTAGCCTTTACAATTTTCCGCCAAACATTTTAAGCTTCATCACCCAAAAATGAAACGTCTCACGCATTTTTCTTTTGATCCCGAACACCCCAAATAATTGATTTTACGCTGTCTTTGCTGGTCTCACAGGTTTAAACTGGGTGATACTGAAAGTTCTTATGCACCAATCAAAAACTTCATAGGACTTATAATTATTGAGTTAGTAAATTTTTTGTATGAAAAATAGATTTGGGGTCTGCCAGTAGCTGAGAAGTCTCCACAGCACTGGAAATCAGTAAAAAAAAAAATTTGCTGTCATTTCTCCTCCAGGTAATAGTGTGGGGGGATTATGGGCGTATGGACCACAAGTGCTTCATGGGAATGGCCCAAATCCTCCTGGAGGACTTGGACCTGTCTGCCACAGTCAGCGGCTGGTATAAGCTGTTCCCTACCTCCTCCCTGGCAGACCCCAGCATCGGACCCCTCACCCGACGCCTCTCTCAGTCCTCCCTGGAGAGCGCCACCAGCCCTTCATGCACCTAGACACCCAGAATACATACACACACGCGCGCGCAAGGCAGAGTCACGCAGACACAGGCGCACGTACTGTATATACACGACGACTATGTAAGTGCAAAGCCAGGTAGGCATACATACACAAAGCGATGCATCCGTGCAGGAAGACACACTTGACATACACACAAATACCTGATCCCAGCCACATTGACACACATGCACTCTCAACATGCTGCCATAGTCTTTACTGGAATATCCTCTCGACTGTCCGTTCACACTCTCACCCAACGCTCAGTGTTTACTGGCAAAACGATTAGCAGATCCAAAACGGGAGAGGGCGTAATTTACCTGAACATGTAGCATTTTTCCACCCACCTGTTTCCAACATCTCATACCACGAAAACCAGGATTCACCGGGTGTTCTGCAGTCCAAGATTTTCCGTGGCACAGCTCATCCCAGGGCACATCCTGATGCCAGTTTCTAAACTCTCTATGCCAAACTAAGAAAAAAAACTTTATTTTTTAAACCAAAGCAATTGTTATTGTTGTTAATATTACTATTATAAGTAGTAGGTGAACTAGTATACAATATAAAATATGGATATGTAGCAGAGTCAATGACTTAGATGTAATCCAAAAAAAAATAAAATAAAAAAATGACGATACACACACGCACGCGCACACACACAAGCTGGGCACGGGAGGCCAAACACATACACATACCTGGATAACAGGCTCGGATATTCACATAATGGCTATTATGTGAGGTAGCAACACTGCTATTCTATAATTTTCACAGGGCAGAGTTTATATATAGATATATATATATCAAAATAGATATATAGTTAAAAACTTACTTGTGTTTATATATATGTGTCAGCTGCATTCTGCATGTTTGCTTGCGAGACATTTTAAAGTGCTTAAACCTTTTTCATTTAGCTTGCTTTGACCAATGTGACAGCAGTGTAGTGCTGCTTTATTTTGTGCCGAGAAGGGAGCACACCGCACTGAGTTGGGGAGAAGGATGGGGCTGTGGTGATGGCGGAGCGAAGGGGTTGGCTGTCATCGCTATCTGCAGAAGACGAGAACAAAATAAGCCAGCCAGCGGACAAACACATTTATGATCCCTGCCTTCACCTTAGGCGTTCGGAGAAATGTGACCGCTTTGTAGCCCGTCCTCGCGTATTCTGGGGAAAGGGCCTCTACCAGCACCTGGACTTGTTCCAGCTTCCAGTTGAGTTCCCCATTTTTTTTCCCGTCCTACTTGATGAGGGATGTGGGGAGATGGCCAGCGTGCCTCTGCACCTCTCCTTTTCCGATCAAATGTAGCCGGTGTTGTGCCAAAAAATAAACTGTTGTAAATGGCCTTGCTGGCCTATAATCTGTGAAACATATGTCAAACCTGTTTCTCATGAATGATATCAAGTCCTTTTGAGCCACAAACAACATTCCTGTCACAAGATACATTCAGTTTTTGGCAAAGTGACTCTTATAAATCCTTTATTTATCTAGCTAAGAAGTGTCATTTACATTATAAATGCCTTATTGTAATAGAAATCCAGCCAAGAGGGCAACAGAAATTGCAACAAATATAGCATAAATGTTTTAGAAAAGCCAGAAGAGACTGGATTGATTATAATGTAGGTGCAAATAATACACAATCATAATAAGAAGCTTTCAAAACAGGTAGTTTCTTCATTTTGTATATAAGCCCTTCAGAAATCCAATAGACTCTGTAGTCTGTTTACCAATATAAGCCAAGAGATTATACATAAAAAACACACAGGACCATCGGGAATGACTTTTTGGGACAACACCGGAAACATTAACATGCGCACAGCTTGTGAAACCTTTAACCCTCCTAACTTTCCCTTTGACGCTAACTAAACCTCTTTTAAATGTGTCAGCGTGAATTGAATTTCTTTGCGATAGCCGACTATTATGTCAGCACTACATTTACTAGCGTACCTGCCATATGGTGGTTTTACTTGTTTCAGGTGCAAACGTGGCAGTGACACATTTCCAGCACTCTCGTTTTATATTTCCCGTCAGGCGGCGTGTTTGCGTTTTCTTTAAATAGCACTTTACTGTAAAATATTCACGCTGAGCACGCAGCGGTTGACTGCTTCTTCTTTTTATTTTCGTTTGCATTTTTATTTGGTCACACTGCGCTGCGCAATTGTTTTGAATTGCAGCATGGAAATGTAAGTCGAGTGCACTAGAACAGCTGATCCAGGTGACTTCTGCTGCCGGATTTAGACTTCTTGAAGGCTTTTAACCTTGTTCAGCCACCTTTTCCCATTTACATTTCCTCTGAGTCCGCTTTGCACTAACTATAAGGGTGTTTGCAGAAAAAAATCAACAAAACAGTTAAAGGTGTGATGATAATGGAGTCTTCACTGGCAGCAGAGGGACTAGCATCCAAATTAAGCTACTGCTTTCTTACTGGTTTATTTAAGGTGCAGATGTCTTGGGGGGGGGGGGGAGGGTTTATTTTATTTTTTTCTGACCAACATCAATCCTTGTATATATTTCTCATACATGAACACGGGCAAAGGCGCTAACAGAGATCATATTTTGAAGAGGTGCAAAGACACAGTCTCGAGTTCCTCTCTTAAAAGCTTCTGCGTGTTTATGAGCTCTGAATTTGCTTTTATCACCACCTCATTTATTCCTCTCTCCTCATCTTTCTGCAAAAAAAAAGGGAAAATGCGAGGTTTTTTTTAGTCTCGCAGCACCTCAGAACAACACAATTCACGTTTCAATGCTTTTTGAACTTTGGATAAACTAAAGGGATATCTGGCATTCTTGAATTTTTGGGAGGATGATTTATGATGTTTATTTTTAATCCTCCTATCATATGTATACAAAATGTTTTCTTTGTTAAAGAGGTGTTGTCATTTGTTTTATGGTTCGGAGCTATTCCTTGCTGGATCTGTACTTGTATGGTCCCGCCTAGGAAGTAATTTCATGTATTGATTTGTTTTCTTGAGACAGCTGGCATGTTATACAAATATGGGAAAAAAAAGGAATAAGAATCCTCAAAAAACAAGATAATGAAATTTATAGATCTGTGTAACTTCCCTGCTGATTGTTCCACTCCTTGGTAAACTATCAAAATACTGTTGAAAATGTGTTTTGGAGCTTTTATGAGACTGCGTGTGTATGTGTGTCCCTGTGCTATATATCAATCATCCTCAAAGCATTACCCATTCTAATGATTGAATAGATGCAAAGAAATGTATTATATATCTTATAAGAAAGGCAGGATTAGCCAAAACTTGCCCAAATCCTTTGATTCTTGCAACCTAGAGGATAAGTTTGAAATATTGCCTTTGTTTAAAGTGTAGTGCGGGTGTATGTCTTTTAGAGAGATGCATTTAGTGTGTTAGTGTGATGCATAATGAGCGACAGGGCAGCAAGGTGTGAGTGGATCAGAGTTTTCAGATATGAACGCCAACGTTAACTTTGAACTTTCTCTTTACCTTACATTTAAAGGAAAAAAAAATTATATATAAACTGTAGTGTCACCTGATCATTGTGCATTGTCTCACACAAGGTCATTTGATTTATTTGGACACACAATTAACAAAAAAAGGGGGTCGAAGCCTCATTAGCAGCAGGGATGACGGGACGGAGATCAAGCAGGTTGCCAGTCTTCGTGCTTTTGTGGAGCTGAGTGACGCGTAGACTGTTTTCGTTTTCTTTTTGTCAACGTGAAGGTGTCCAGATGCATGAAGTCGACACGGCTCAGGTGACATTTGAATGGAGAGGCTGCCAATGCTCAGAATGTAAAACCCCACAAACTTGCTATAAAAAAAAGCATATTTTTAACCCAAAAAATGTATTGTGTGTAACGCATCTTAATAACACATACCTGAGTCATAGTTTGTGCACTATATCGAAATATAGTATTATATGTATTTTATTTTTCTAAGGACAGAGGTATTATTCAGAGAAGGAGGACAGCGTGGGCAAAACCCGCCTTTTAGCTTTTTTTGCAAAAAAACGAGGGCTTGTTCAGTTTACAATGGCCTTACTTTGCGTAGGAAACGTTGCTTCACTCTTGTAGCACACAGCTGAAAGTTTTGAACAAATGTATTTTGCTTGAGATATTGTACCGAAGTTCTCTATGTGTATATGTATAGTTTTATGAATGTATTTCTAAACCCTAACACCGAGGAGGAGTGTAACTCTTTTTCGTCATCTTGTTTGCTATACTGTCTCTTCTGGAGACTTTCCGGGGACCCCGCCTGCACCCAATCAGGCGGCCCCTACTTTTACTGTACTGTAATACTGTATGTCTTATGATTTGTGTTTTAAAGGAACAGCTCTGTGTTTGTAAACAAGCATGAATTCCGTCTGGCGAGATGCGGTTATTTTATTTATTTCAATCGCCAAGATGGGTTTTGAGCAGAAGGGTTTGCCCTCCCCCCGCCCCCAACCCTTTGTCTATCAAGCTGATGGAATTATTATATTTGTATTTTGATCTAGGAAATATTTGCCGCATGGTTACTCTGATCTTTGCATTTCTGACCTTGTATTTAACCTTTAATGATGGTTTGATCACGATGAGACCAACAAGCGACAGCGGTGGGGGCAATCAGACCCAGAACAGCATCCAGAGAGATGCAAAAGAACTTTTATGATTAAAAACACTGTTATCTTGCAGTAGCATGAGCCAAGCCTTACATTTTATGATGTTTTTCTTCTGGCAATAAACATTGGCTGTAGCATTTGCTGTCGTGGGCGCCTTCGCCCACGGCTTCACTCTCTCTCTCTCTCTCTCTCTCTGTCTCTCTCTCTCTCTCTCTCTCTCGTGACCCCAGAGCTGAGCATGTGGCGCCAGAAAGTGATTTCCGGTATTCGCCCAAAAAGTGATTAGCCTAATTTGTGTGAAAAATATATCGGACTTATTTCTCATGAATGATATTAAGTCATTTTGAGCCAGAAAGAAGTTCCCCTTCAAAAGGTAGAAGCTTGAATCAGTTTTTTTTGGCAAAGTGACTGTTATATTTCCTTTATATATTCGGGTAAAAAGTCTCATTGACATTAAAAATGTCTTTTTCAAGAGAGATCTGGCCGAGAGGGCGTCAAATATAACATCACAGTTCTTGAAACACACTATAAGGGACCAAAAGGCAATGAAAAACCAGTTATTTCTTTATTTATATTTGACCCCTTCATACATCTACAGTCTATTTACCGATATGAGTAAAGATATTAGACATCAAAGAAACTCGTGGAAACATCAGAAATCACTTTCTGGCTTTTGGCACAACACTGGTATCAGTTGAGCTACCATAAATAAGATAAAAGTGTAACCATAAATTTAAGCGCTGGTATAAGTTTAACAAAGCATGCAGTGCATTGTGATTTACTGCTGTATGACAGTAGAGTTCGTGATCAACAAGTTTAATTTTCTCTTCGACGTTGCATTCCAGACACATGCATTCCAGGTGTTTGATTTGCCAGCGTTACAGCTGTCCATGAGAACAAACACAGACATTGCCGTTGACCTGACGGCCTCAGTTCGTTTGTCTTCTTCCACGTCTATGTCAGCGATCACAGCACAAGTTTTGCTTTGTAACCTTTCTGTCCTTTTTCGCCGTCTGTCAGATTGTATTAGGGCCATAGTAGCTCCCCTCCCTGCTATCAAGGCAAACCTCATCTTATCAAGCCTAGGAAAGCACAGAACACAACCCAAACTAATGGTTTAACTAATATTTAAATGGACCACAATCACATTCCCAAAGCACATGTAGTAGACTCGATGCCTCTTTTTCCCTGCAAATTGCGGATTCATCATCCCAGTTCAATTGGAATAGCTGTTTTGGTAAATGAGGGTTTGTCTTTTCTGAACAGGCCTTAAACGTTCCACCAAGATGCAAAACAAAGGATAGCGTAGCTGCCTGGCTGATGAAAGGATGTGGTTTATGGCAAAGATGAAGGAAAAAACAAAACAAAGGGAGCTGTAATTTTATACCTGTGCTTTGTAAATGTTTTCTATGTGCAGTATTTGATAATGTAAAACTGGTATTTTTGTGGTTTGTACGCTGCAAAATTGATTACTTAAGGTGCACGTAGTTTTGTAAGAAAATAGAACCAAACTGAGGAGAAAAGGAAAAAAAACAATGGGATTCAGAAGCCTGTATTTGCATGCCCTTTGACATCTGGACGCAAAGTCAATAAAGTTTATTTGAATCACAGACATTCGTTCTCCGTGTCTTCACTTTTCTAATGCAGGTCGTGCATTCTTTGTGTATCTTTGATGAATCTTTGTTCAAGTCACGTAAAAGAAGAGCTGCATTCTTCCCGATGGCCACCAGGGGGCACTTCCTCCCTATGGAAAAAGAAGTTAAACGTATAAAAGTCTATGAGGAAAAAAACACCATTAATGACCTCAGCAAACACCTTTCTCTTGGTTATATGGCCTCAGTTGCTACTTTCACACATTTTTAATACAACAAGATGCTCATTTTTATAAATTATGATCTCAGTTAGATTAAAATGGACAAAGAAGTAGGTCACACAACAAAGCATATGAGTCAGCCACACATGAACATGTATGGCCACTAGTGGGCAGTAGAAACAAGCTTTATAGTATTGCACAGTTGCACTTTTAGTTGATTTTGAGAGCCTACAAGGAAACCATTTACTACTGTTTAAGTCATGCACATGCAGAGCAACATTAATGTGTCTATACTCAAACTACCTTGAGCTTCGTGACCTGTACATGAGGCCAGAAAAAAATTACTAACAAACTTCCACAGTAGTATTAAACATCTGTGCAGCCACTCCTTTTTTTGTTGACAGCAGTCAAGCAGAATAGGCAATTTTCTGCAGAATGCAAACAATTCATGCAGAAGAATCGTGTGAACAGGCATTTGCGTGGTTTAATAGTGTAAGAAATAACGAAAAGGGACTAAAGACAAAGCCCAGCAATGAACACAACAAACAAAACAACATAAAATTTAATGAAAACAATATTTATTTGCATGTTTTCACGGGGACAATTATCATATGTCACATATACATTGTTAAATTTTATTGAAATTGTGTAAAGTGGGGCAAAGCATGTGGAAAAGAAAAACTAATATACAGAACATGTTTAAGAAACATAATATACAGCGATATTCTGATAAAGAATTAAAATATACAGTATCTTGATCGACAAGTACGTACAAAGTTACATTCCTTTATTCGTTTTTATTTCACTGAAAAAATATTGGACCAAAAAAAAAAAAGTAGCCTGATCACAAACGGAAAAGCTCAGGTGAGGCCTTAGCGTCCACAGAGGTGGACTTGCATTGCCTTTCCAGAAGCTTTTGTTGACTGACAGATTTGCTGTTGCTGTGCTGGATGTGCTCTCTCTTATATAAATGTTGCTCTCAGTGGAGAAGGTGACTGCTGCTGTCACACTGTTGTGAAATAAGTCCTTATATGCTGCACATAGGCACCTCCTATATTGCTGCCACTCACATTAAAAGCAGCATCTTACCAGCTTAACACAAGTGTCAAATAAAATTAAAATAACAGAAACACAGCATTTCCATAAGCATTCATCAGAAAAGGCAGATTTAGCAACACTTTTAAGAGAAATCGGGGCACAGAGATGGTTTGTGTGAGAGGAGCGTACAAGCATCAGCTAAAACAGATGTGACAGATTGCGGATGTACAATCGCTTTATGCTTCACGATGTGGTTTGGCCAGCTTGTTGAATACTCTCATCCCCTCTCAAAAAGAAAAAAAACTGTTTGCCCCCAATGTAAAGGTGAGGCCGTTACAGCAAAACTGGAAACCCACAGGATGCCATCGAGCACAGACGTTCGAGAGACACAAGGTGTACGTTTCTAGACGAGGAATATATAAAAAACAAAAACACATCGAAACACAAGTGCGCGCGATCAAACGAGTCAACCGAGATCACATTCAGAGCACATGTTTTACCCATTTTTTTTATTGGTTTTTTGTCAGTCTTTATCAAAGACTTTGTCAGAGGGAGAAACATTCAGAGAGACACATTCGCAAATCTTAACAAACATACAGTACAGTACATACAATCAGAGCTAGATACACATTCTTTTCATGCAATTCAGTGGAAGCATCTGAAACCCGGCTGACCTTCACCTTGAAGTTTTCCGTCTCTACTCCCACTTCTCTGTTCACCTCCTATTTACAGACATTCAACGTTATTTGAGGCCACTAATGCACCAGGTAGATTCTTAACTGGAGGTGTGCGGGTGCTGATGACACTGCATGCAAAATTATTTCTTTCTTCTTCTTTTTTTTTTTTTTTTTTTTTTAAGTGTCCTACCCTTGGTGAAAGAACAGCACAGTGAAGACAGTGATGCTGGACTGCTGAATTGCTGTTTTTTTTTTTCTATTAATCACTAGTTAAGTGGTTGAACAGGAAAAAGCATACAGGAATACTGTCCACTTACAGTAAAGCTAGTGTTGATCTTTGGTCTCCCAAAATATGGTTTTGGACTTTTGACATTTGAAGATTAAAGATTCTAAAAGAAGCCCTCTAGATATTCAGATGAAGACATCAATATTACGGGCTGTGTAGGTAGGATTTGTTGCTTGAATTAAATATTGTTAGATGAGTAGAATTTCTAGATATATGTGGCTAAAAATGGTTATGCGTATTTGTCTTCTGCATGCAGCATGAAGGGACTATTAGGCTAGCCTAGCTTTTATATTTTTTAATGATTATTAAGTGAATTAGCAGCAGCTCATCTCACTTATGTGAAAATATACTTTTCACATAAATCTCGAACTTGAAATTGGCTGAATAAAGTTGTAGCTGCTACACTTTGCAAATATGGCTGCTGTTAAAATGTAGCTATGTCTACGGTGGCCCTGAGAGGTCACATGCACTGCAACTGTAGAAAACACCAACAAAACATTAAAATTTTGCAAAAGCTCCACAGAAGTTGATTAAAACATAAGAGACATAGAAAAAAAAAAATTCTGACAAAACACAATGGACACTGTAGGTACATGGTTGCTGTTAGCCGTTTACTGTTAGCTGTTAGCCAAAAACATTTTTGTTGTGTTTTGTTTGATTTTTTTCTGTTAGCTTCTCCAGTGTTTTTCTTTCTATTTCCATTGGGTTTTATTGAACTTCCATTATGTTTTGTGCGCTTTTGCACCATTTTTCATTTTTGCTGGTGTTTTATTAGGCAGCAGTGTGTTTGACCTCTCAGGGCCACTGTATATATCATCACTAAATGTCGCCCCATCAGTTGGGTAAATACTGGTAATGTAGGGCGTAAAGTATGAGCCACCTATTTAGGTTGCCAGATTATATATCTCGGTCTATTTTAGCTTTTAAAGCTAGGCTAACCCCAATGCCAACCCCAGTGCCATCTGATTAAATATGAAACAGTGCAATTCTGCAGCTGCTTGATACCCTCATAATGTTTCTGCACACAAGCTCTCTCTCATAAAGGCTGGGCAGAAAGAAAGCTCTGGAATCCTAACCAGTGGCCTCAGAACCGCCTTGTCGTAGTCGTCATATGAAAAGGTCCTGAAGGCAAACATGGAAATCTGCAGAACATGGCTATGCATGAGACGGCAAGAGGAAGCGTGGCCAGAGAGGAGAGAGAGAGGTAGTAGTGGTTTCTCAAACCTTCTTCTTCTTCTCCACCTCAGTCTCCTCCTCCTCCTCCCTTGCATCAGAAAATGTTTAATGGAGAGTCTGATCCACGTCGTTTCTCTTCTCCTTTTGTGGGTCGTTGGTGCTCCATCGAATCTCAGATAGACAAGCTCATTTCCACACGTGCGCTGTCATGTGTGCCGAACTTGGAGCTGCTGAACCTCCCATTTGTTGACCACTGTGTCCCATCATACCGCTGGTGTTGTAAAGATTCATGCCGGCCATGTGCTGAGTCATCTGAAGGGCACAAAATGAACTTTAGCAACGGATCCACTCCTCTCCAAACTTTCAAAACCGCAAAAAACAAACACACACCTGACTGATGTTCCACTGTAGCTGCTGGGCTTGCTGGACTCCGTAAGTCTGCTGCTGGGGTAATGCGGGCAAACCCCCAACCTGCTGCTGCTGCCCCATCATCCCACTTTGTTGCTGTCCTATAATGCTGTTCTGCTGCTGTACCATCATTCCAGTTTGCTGCTGTCCCATCATTCCTGTCATGTAGGGCGACGGCACAACGCCGCTAGGCTGAGCGGTGACACCCTGAGCGCCCATTAAGCCATTCTGCTGCCCCATCATGCAGTTCTGCTGAATTCCAATCATGCTGTTTTGTGGCACTGCCATCACCCCGCTCTGTTGCTGCCCCATCATGGCCATCTGTGATGTCATCATAGTGCCTCCCATTCCCCCTGCCTGGGCTAAAGAATGGTATGGACCATACGGGTGCGTTGGATATCCCATTTGGTTCATGTACAAGCCTGCTGAGAGCAATCACAGACACCAATAACGATGAGCAGACTATCACCGTGTCAACATCCAGATCTGGACCACATCTGACAGAAATCTTATAAACTCTTACCATGTGCAGCCATACTGCTGGCATGTACCGAGGGAGTGGAGGCGTACAGGGAAAGAATGGAGTCCTTGGATAGTTTCTTGACAGTGCCCTCCTCTGCTTTGGGTGCTGCGTCTAAGAACAAGCTCAGATTCTCAGGCACTGAGGCAGTCACTCTGCTCTGAGGCATGGTGCTGGAAACAGACTGGACCGACACAAGGCAAAGATGAAAGTCTGTCTGAATGTACGCAAATAAAAACTCAGCAGCTTATAGCATGTACAGTGTGTTGTCTACTACCGTGCTTTTTGTAGAGGAAGCAGGGGAGGGGGCTGCGAGGGAGCTGAAGAGATCCAGGGCAGAGTGTGCAAGGGCTGTGTTAGACACCACTGGGCTCTCATTACTGTCTGGAACACATCCTCCACCATTAGACACCACAGGGCTTGGAGCTGGGGCATCTAATAGAGGTAATGATGATAACAACCGTTTCAGGTATCCACGTTCAAAGCAGCTCATCTAATTAAGATTCAGCTTTCTGTCCTAAAATAGATGCCTGGCATGTTTATTTGCTTTTTAGGTGCAGACTTGCAACATAAAGCAGTTCTATATTAAGACAGCAGTTTCCTGGTGTGCTAATATTTTGGACTCTGTGTTAGTGTAAGCGCATGCGTGCAGGTGCATAAGGCAGAATACCTAGTCCAAGCAGGTCTGTGAC